TTCGGGGCACGCGCAGAGTGTGCCAGGTGCGTCCGCGCACATCGGGGAGCACGTCGAAAACCAGTGCCAAGTCGCGGCGGAGGGGCCGTAATGATATTTGGTGGGCTTGCACACAACAGGCAATATGGCAGCACCCCCGCCGTCCCAGTAACGTTCAACAGTGCTCAGTGATCGCGGAGTGCCCGCGCGTGATCCAGCTTGCGCTGCGAAGTCCAGCTTGCACTGTGTTGTGATAAGGGATGGGGGATGGTGGCCCTGCGCGCAGCAGGCCACATGCTGCCCCCCCCGCCCCCGCCGTCCCTGGCGACAAACAATGCAAAGTGCTCGCGGGTCCCCGAGCATGACCGACGCTCTGCCGCAAAGTGTGTGTGTGTGTGTGTGTGTCTGTGTGTGTTCATTTTGATGTTTGACATGGGTGGTTGACATGGGTGGCGGGCGCGGTCGTCATAGGCCCTGGTTTGTCGCTGGTCGGGTGTGGGAGGAGGGGGGTATACTATGAAGCAGAAGTGATCACCCCCTCCCCGACACGGAAGCTGGGTGGGGGGAAGATGACTTCCCTAAACCACTTACGCCCAGAGGCCTCGTGGGATTCAGCTTAAGCGTCCAGTGGGTACTTGTTTTGCCCCCCTGCAAGGGCGATGATCCTCAGGACGCGTGTCGGCACAAGATGTGCCCACCTCGCTCGGCTCCGCCGCTGCCGCGCAGCCTGTGTCGGCCCTCCTTGCGCCGCCGGCGCGGCGCCTCGGGCCTTCGATAGCCCGGGACACGTGGGTACCAGCGCACGACACGCTCCGAGGAGCATCGAGAGGGCCAGGCCAGGCAGGAAACGTTCGAAGTCGGCGGGCGGGCCCCGCTCGCCGAGGCATCCCGCCCAGGATCGACGAGCTCGTGAGCCGGGTGCGGCTGTCGGAGGGCGTCGCCGCCGGCTGGCAGGAGGACGCGGCCGCCGGGTGCCCGCCCGCCTCGGGAAGGGTGGAGGGCATCAGTCCAAAGAGGGGGGTTGTCCATGATCCTCGCCTGGGGCTCTTGGCCACGGGAGGAAAGGCACCCGGACCCGATAATCGGCGTTTGCTACACGGCCCTGGGCGTTGACTAAGCAGCTCTGCCCTGGTCGATTCCTTCTTTGGGTGCGTGTACTAAAGGACTTCGCGTGTCGGGCTGATGATTCTGAGGATGGATTGTCTGCTCTCTACTTGGCAGGAGTTGGATGTAGATCTAGTCGAGGCATGGCAACACACGCCTGCCGAGGTCCCCGGAGCTCGATCCCCACTGCGGTGGCAGGGTGTGGATATGGATATGTCACGCGCGTGGTACGTGCTATTCGTCCGCATTGTGCCCAAACGCATGCGGCTCCTTCCATCGGACTGGACGACAGGGTAGGACCGGGTGAGTTGGGCGGGTGCTCATGGGCGGGTGGCCTACAGGTGCACGGGGTGAGAGACCGTAAAGGGGCCCTTCAGGGCCCCTTTTGGGTCCCTGCTGGCGCCAAACGGAGCCCTAGGCCCTGAAGGGCCGTCGTAGGGCCCAATTCTTCACCCCCCGTCTGGGTCACCCCCCATACCGCCCGCCCGAGAAAGGCGTGGGGTTACAAATCGGCTGCGTGCAGCTGGTTTCCGCCCCGCCGCTGGGCCCACTCCTCGATGCACGGGCGCCCTCCGGTGCCAGGAGGAGCCAGGGAAACCAGCTGCGGGAGCTGATTCTCTACCCTACCCTGTGCTATCTTACAGTCGGCCCGGATTAGTAGGTCGACCCTGCCAGATCGAGGGCACCCTCGCGGCCTGCGCCTCGAGACGCATGCCGTTTCGCACTTCTGTGGCGACGTGGCCCTCGAAAGGGCCCTTGTGTCCGCTCGCGCACCCGTTGCAGTCAAGTCCGACTGTACCCGTTCGTCCCCCCCCCCCGATTCCACAGCGAGGCTCTTGTGAGGCCGTCCGGCCAGTGTGGCGTCGACGTCGCCTTTGCTCTCCGACCGCCGATGGCGGTTGAGGCAGGCGGGCCGTGCACGAGGTGGGCACAGCGCCGGCCCGAGAAGTCTGCCGGGGCATCTGGAGGGGCAGCTCGTTTCGACCAGACGCAAGAGGGGCCTTTCGCCGGAGTGACCTTTTTGGTGCGGGCGCAGATGGGTCTCCAGATGGCTGAGAACGATGCAGGAGCGGCGGCTTGCGCGCCCAGGTGTGGTCCCCCCCGCGGCCCCCAAGAAGCCGCGCACCAAAGGTCACTCTCATCCAGGGTCACTCTTGCGTGTAGCCGACTCTTGTGGAGGAGGGAGCTCAGGGGCACGATGGGGGGGGATAGGCATAGGGGGGGATGCATCGACCCCTAATCCCGAATCCCTAATCGCCCATTTATCGCCGATAGGGGCCAGATAGCCCCACCCCGCCCAGGAACGTGGGGATTTGCTATCGGGGGCATCTCGCCGATCTATCGGCGATGCATCGCCGATTTCAGGTCGATGTTTTCTCCCCCTTGCCAGTCCCACCGTGTCGTTGCCACTCATCAGAAGGCACCGATATCGCTACCCCCTCCTCGTTTTTCCGTTTTGGGACCTCCTGGGAGGCCCTCGTCATTACCTTTGGGTTCGCCTCGAAATTCTGGTCAGAGACCACCCCGGGAGAGGTCCGGGGAGCGGCGGTACCGGTACCTGTTGCTGGGACATCCAGAAAAGAAATCTTTTTCGTTACCTGGTTGACAGCCGAAGGCGTGGCACACGACGCGGTTTGCCTAAAGAGGGCCTGACGGGGGGAGGAGGAGGGAGCAGGCGGTCGGAGGAGGGATCAGGCAGGGAGGGATCAGGAGAAGGTACGCGGCGACCCTTGGGAAGACACGGGTCTCCATAGATAGTGGAGCGCACTGCAGGCCCCACATGCTCAGGGAAGAAGCGGCGGCGAGGACCCAGAGAGGACCCGAGAGGCGGCCCAGAAAACGGCCACCGCCCCGACTCGGGACCGCCCCGACGCAGGAGCTGCTGCAGGAAGCCCTCGAGGCCACAGCCAGGGCCGCGCGAGCTGGCCCAGAGACACGGCGCGGCACCGCGCGGCACGCGGGGAGAGGCCAGCGCCCCGAGCCGAGCGGCCAGCGCACCGGGTGCACGTCGCACGGGCCCTCACGGCTCAAAGAGCGCCGCGTGGCCCAGCTGCACCAGGTCGGCCAGCTGCTTCGGCGAGGCCCAGCCCGGGCGCCGCTGGAAGGAGCAGCGCCAGCAGCCTCGTCATCAGCTCCAGGGGCGGAACGTCCGGCGGGCAGCGGCCGACGATGTGCTCTGGCTTCGCCTGCATGCTGCAGGTGGCCGCACGGGGCAGAGCCACACCATCATCACCCACCTCCGCTGGAGCGTTGCCGGATGCGGGCAGCAAGTGGCCACCGCCAGCGCCACCATCTCCTGGAACATCCTCATCTTTCTTCTTCTTCTTATTCTTAACCTTCTGCTCTCGGCCCTTCTTGCCCTTCATGGAGTCGCCAATGAAGAACCCCTCCACGATCCGCATACCCTCTGCCTCGGCGGCGCCCTCGGCCCCTGGGCCGCAGCCGAAGGAGGGGGGGCGTCAGGCGGCAGCACCAGCGCCCTCACCGACAGAGCACAGGTGGCTGCATCCCCCTCCCTCAAGAGCGGCCTCAGAAGAGCCGGATCCGCTGCCCCGGAGAGCGCCCGGCGGCGGCTGCAGCGGTAAATGGGGCCCAGCACGGGGCCTTCTCGTCCTTGCTCTTCTCCTTGCATTCGGTCGCCTTCTCGATCCGGAGGCGCCGGCGGCGCCTGCGATTGTACAGTGGATGCAACACCCTGCCTGCCTCCCGGGTGCCCTGGGTTTCTCGGGCTTCGATGGTTTTGCGATGGCAAGCGTGGCGATCCCACACCACAAATCCATGGACGTCCTGGTGTCTCAGGGTTGGGCTTCTTGTGGAGGGCTTCTGGGCTGGCCTCCACTGCAGTCCTTCTTCCTGTGCTTTGCACCTGCACCACATCGGCGAACACGGGCTTCGCCTTCGGGCGAAACACGGCTCTGGAGGGGCCCGGGCCGATGCGGAGCCCTTGCTCCACCTGGAGCTCGAGGCGCTGCGGCGGCGGCGGTGGCAGGGCCCGCCCCAGCCCGCCCCCGCAGGCCCACGCCAGCCGGCAGGGGAGGCCCCTGGCAGGCGCACGAAGCCGCGCTGCCCCCGCACGAGGAGCGTGGACGCGCCTCGCCAGAGCCTCCGCGGACTCCGCCTCGGCGGGAGAAATATGATGATGATGATGATGATGATGATGATGATGATGATGATGATGATGATGATGATGATGATGATGATGATGATGATGATGATGATGAGGAGGAGGAGGAGGAGGAGGAGGGAGGAGGAGGAGGAGGAGGAGGAGGAGGAGGAGGAGGAGGAGGAGGAGGAGGGAGGAGGCGAGAGGCGGAGCAGGGAGGAGGGAGCAGGAGGGAGCTGTAGTCAGGAGGGAGTGGAAAGGAGGGGGGAGGGAGGTGCATCCATTGTCTCTGGGGCAACGGGGCGCGAACGGCGCGTACCTCGGCCATCAGAGGTTTTTGTTTCGGTCCCCATTCGGTCTGGGTCAGGGGCTGCGGCTCGCAGGCCGGAGGGGGCTTGCTCGGTCACTTCCCTCCGCACATACATGAGACCCGTAATCTCTCGCGAGATCGTGCAAGCCTTCGCTGCTCCCTGGTGGCAGCAGACCCTACGCATCAGACTTCGAGAGGGAAGAGCATCATGCTGTCCTGCACGAGAGCATCATACTGTACTGCACGCACGGGAGACTTCATGGAAGACGGTACGGGAGTCCACACGGGAGTCCACACGGGAGACCAGACGCCGGGAAACCATTCAGGAGACCATAGGGGAGACCACACAGGAGACATTGTGGAGGGCCTTTACGGCAGACCAGTTGTGAGGCCGTACGGGCAACCCCATGGGAGATTATACAAGAGGCCATAGAGGAGAGCACTGCTAACTACCGAATCTTGATCAGGATTCGTTCACACCGGAAAACATAGAGAGGACTCACAAAGGCAATTTGCGCAGGGCAGAATATATTCGTCGTTGATGTGGCCCACCCAATTCCCACACCGGGCGGCAGGAGCTCGAGCCTGTGCGCGACAAGGTGAAGAGCCTCGAGGTCTCGTTCGCGCAGGTTCGCTGCGACGTCGAGGTCGCCGCCCTCCTCCAGGGGGGCAGATTTTGCCCGTGCCTCGCTGAGCCAGCCCTTCACGTGTTGCTGCTGGTCTGCTGCCTTCTTGCAGGTTCGTTCCCCACCGGCCCCCCGCGCTTGAGTATGACTCCTTGCGCCGCTGCCAGGCGGCCCCTCGAAGATGTCGACTACCCCTTAGGCTGACCCATGGACCACCAGCAACTACCATGAGAAGCGCGAGTTTGAAATCAATTGGGTTCCTCCCTTTCGCAAAACAGCTGTTTGCCAGCGTGGCCCTCAAGTAGTTCTACCTTGCAGTCTCGGCATGAAACATGTGGCGCAGTTTGTATATGTTGCAACGCATGGGCTGACATCCATTTGGCGCAACACATGCGATGCACCATATGCGGCGCAGTATTTGTGGTCAAGCGTATGGGGTTCAAGTTGTGTGATGCAAGATACTCGGAACGGTGTAGCCCAAAGCGTTCCACGAGACTCCTAAGAGTAATTTCCGGAACAGGCAGAGGTTGACCCCGAGAGGTCTCAAGCGTGCTTTGGTGGCCCAGACGAAGATGGCCAAACTGGACCCCCCGAGAAGAAAACAAGGCACACACTGTCAGACTGGTCCTGCGCTCGCCCGGGTCACTGCAGCGAAGGGGCGAGCGTCCCTCCCCCCCCCTTCCGGGGACTCCCCGGCCACTTGCCAGGACCCCCTCTCCTTCCCCGGCAGGGAAGGGTGTCGAAGAGAAGTGGCCTCCCTTCGACTCTTTTGCGACCTGGGTCGATTCACCTCGGCTTGATAGAACGTCGTCTCCCACGACCACCCAGGGACGACCACCCCCAGGACTCCCCCTCACATGCGCCTAAATTCAGGGTCGGTAGATCCCATTCGAAGGCTTCGCCTCCCTGGCATCGTCCGAGCCGCGGGTGCCTTCCGTCGAATGCTGGGGCGATCAGCGTGGTGCAGACTGCGTCGTGCAAACTGTGTGTGTTGCAGGCTATGCTTTGCAATCTATGGAGCGCAACGTATGTTCGGCGGCGAGCGAGGGGGGGAAGTGAGAAGAAGAAGGCCTTCTCAGAAGGTCCGGAAGTCTCCCGGCCTCCTGCGAAGGTTCTGAGCCTCCCCCCGAAGACAGGCAAGAGCTTCTCAGAGGGCGCGAGGGCTGCCGAGGAGCCCCGCCGCCTCGTTGGAAGGCCTCCTCTTTCTCCTTCCCCCCTCGCTCGCCGCCAATCTGCGGCGTGATCACCCGCGTGGTGCCGTGTTCGCCCTGGTGCCCGCGGAGCCGCGAGGCGCCCGCGGGCAGCGTCCGGCCGACGGAGTCCACATGGGGCCAGCACATTTTGCCCACCACGGGGTGCGCGCGCGCGCGAGGCGCCCGGGGGGCGGAGCGCCTCTCGGAACGCATGCCGTGCTCGTGGAACACCGAGCAGAGGCCCCCTTTGTGCAAGCGCGCTCTGGGGGAACTTCCCCCAGAGCGCGGCCGAGAGGACGGCTGGCCTTTTCGGCGGCCGACGCACGGGCGGCGCACGGGCGACGAATGCGCGACGCACCTCCTGTCGCGAAGGGGGGGGGGGTCAGCACGCCGGTCGCTTTACTGGGCCTTAACAGGGGGAAGTGCACAGTGGAGGCCCATGCCAAGAAACACCCTGCTTTCGGGGGCGGCAAAGAGGGGGGTGATGACTAGGGGGGGTGGATATCGTGGCGGGGGCCATGATATTTCCCCAGATGTTATAGCGCCTCTTCTTATTTCATTACGTCCCTGGCCCCCCCGCTGGGCCGCGCACATGCCGCCGGTCATGATTTGCATCCCCCCCTCTTGGACACCCCCCTCCTTGCCGCTTCCGATGCTCGTTTCCAGGGTGCCCTGGGTTCTCTTGGGTGTCGACGGTTTGGCTGTGGGACGCGTGGCGCTCCCACACGAAGAATCCATGGACGTCCTGGGGTCTCAGGGTTGGGTTTCTCGTGGACGGTCTCTTGTGTTCGGGCCCCCACTGAAAGCAAGCGCAAACAAGTGACCGATGGGCTAGTAGATGCGCGTTCAGAATCCTGATAGAGCCGCTGTCGCTACTGAAAATCTCTCTTGGCAGTACTACGCCAGACAGCTTGGACAGCAATGTGCATTCGGACAAGTCATACCGTCTACACATTTGTGTTGACTCTCTGGGTCCTCTCCTGGGTTATCCTGGGGAGTCATTTCAAGTATTCTTGATTTAAGGGCCCTTCGTTGCACAGGCCTCACGGCCAGGTCCGCCGACCCTGAGAAGTGAACGGCTTGTGCGCAAGAGGCGGAATGGGGACGGGGGCAAGGGGCAATGGCAGCGTGAGGGCGAAATTTCAATGGTGTGTCTAAAGCTGCGGAGGTCTCAACTACTCCCCCCCTTCAGTTTTAGGGAGACAAACACTGACATAAACATAACAACGCGGAGGTCCGCGCGGAATTCTCGGATCGGCGTTGGACACAGCGCGCGGAGCGCGCCAGGGGCGCCACGGGCGCCGCCAGGGGGTTCCAGCGTCGATCCGAGAAATCCGCGCGGACCTCCAAGTTTTTATGTTTATGCCATTGTTCGTTTTCCGACGTGTCGCCCACACCGGGGCGGGCTTGGCATCGCTCGGACGTGTGCATTTTTTCTCGGCGAGGGCGATCGAGGAGCATCCTTGATCATTTGGCGAAATAACCACGCACGAAACCGAAAAAAACACAGGGAATGGACGTCCGAGCGATGCCAGGGGCGGGGCGAGTTGCGCGGATGCACGCGCTCCGCGGCGGCTTGGGGCCGGAGGCCCAGACCGCCCAGACGGGGCCCGAGCAGACGGGGGTCGGCGGATCGAGCCGCACAGCCGGTGCAGAGGCGGCGCGGCGCCATCCATCGGCCACGCGCAGGGGAGGGGGGGGAAGTGTTATCTCATTGTTCAACTCCCAAAAAACCTCATGGGGGGCGCGGCACGAAAATCTGACAAATGTTCACGCCCCCCCGGGAAAATCCGTTCCCGTTTCCACGATTGTCACGGTTTTTTGTGTTGCATATCTTCATGGGGGGCGCGGCGCCATTCATCGGCCACGAGCAATGGGACTTCTCAACTCCCAGACCCCCTCGAGCAATGACAGAATCATGACGGGAGGTGTTTCGCCACTTTCGGCCTCCGGGGGCCCTTGCCGGGCCTCGGGACCGACAAAAAAGGATTCGGGGTGAAAAAGCCGTCCAAGGGAATAGGTCGAGATCTCGGGGGGTCGACGTCATGAAAAAATCATGACGTCGGGGGTTCTTAGAAGCCGTCCCCCCTCGCCCTACCCCTTTGTGCGCGCCGCCAGATCCAGGCGCTGCTGTGCTCCGTCACCGATGCGTCGGCAATCCCTGAGGTCCGACGCCGCGAAGCAGTGCAGCATCCTCACGCAGCACGACTG